CTGTCCTACCAGCGATGCTTTCTGGCCCCATGTGACAGGCACAAGCACCCACTGCTCTCCATCCTTGCAATTAAATCTAGGCAAGAATACAAAGCAGAAAGGAGTGAATCGAGGAGCAGGTAAAGGATCAGGGCAGCTGAAAGTGGGAATTAAGAAAATGAGGAAGAAGATTTCATATTCCTGTAGTTTATGCTTCTGCAAAGCCAAGCAGCTTTGAGAATGCTGCACGTAGTTGGTGAATATGTCATGAACATTAATCTGGATTTTATGGCATAGCAGAATCCCACCAGGGTTTAAATCATGCAGCAGGAGCACAGAAAATAAGTCTGCTTATAACCCCCTCCCTTAAGAAAAGGTATCAACACATTGGAATCAGAAGGAATTTCCAGGTCAATTTAATTAATCTGTTTTCTGGAGTTGGAGGACATTGGAGTTCAGTTAAGCAGAACAAGCACCCAGACCCTGAAAGCAGCATCCAGAATTTAGGGATTTCATTTTCCTTATAGAAGAGAAAAAGAAAAAGGAAGGAGGGAGATAGGGCTGCGCTGCCATGTGGAATCATTTATTTTACACTGATCCCTGTCAGCCATCCGAAGCTTTGCTTAAATAAATAGAAGGATTGAGGCTTTCAGAGGCAGCTCCTGCTTGTCTTCCTGTGCAGGCAGACCCTAGCAGCAGGACACAGGGAATGCAGGAAGGTCTCAGCATGGGGCGGTGGAGAACCAGTCCCTCTCTTTTTCAGAGGGCTCATTTGGTTTTCTTCTGTATATATCTGGAGAATTAGAACTTAAACTAGGAAAGTTAGGTAAGGATCATCTGTCCAAACCCCTGAGTTTCTTTCTGTGCCTCTTAAAACAACCTGGTGCAAATCTGCAACGTTTCAAGGTGGCTGAGATGTGTATGCTGCTCAGCAAAGCAGGATAGGGAGGTGGAAAGGCAAAAGATACCTTTCTTCCTCATGATAGCATTGCAGGAAAAGAAATGACCGTGCTGACGTCCACGTTTTGTAGCTGGAGAAATTAAGGCTTGGAAAGATGGTTGTACCCAAAGTCATAGAGAGAGGTTGGTGTCATGGTCAGATAAATAACTGGGGGGGTCTCAGCTCTGTCACATTGGCTGCTGAGCTAGGGAGGAAGTTTTCCATCCTTTTGCATCTGTGCTGCCATAGAATCATAGAATGGTTTGGGTTGGAAAGGACCTTAAGATCATTCAGTTCCAATCTCCCTGCCATGGGCAGATATGCCTCACACTAGACCACGTCGCCCAAGAATGGGGTGGGTGTGTGGATGTGTAAGGAGGGGAAAAGGGGGTTCTGTATTTACTTGTGGAGACACTAATGTCTGAATACCTGAGGCAATCAGGCCAGAGATAGCTTCAAATGATGAGGGTTGCAGGGGGTGGGGGAGAAGAAGCTTTTTTCCCTCTGTAGTTATTTCACTGAATATTGCAAATTTGATGGACTTAGCAGGAGACCATCTGGGATTTTAACATAAAGATACGTGCCATTTAAGAGTTATTCAGCCCGCAAGTCAGCTGTGCTTCATACTTTTGTTTTCTTCAATCACTAAAAAGTAATTATATTAAGAATAAAAGACCTTGAAAAATGAAACAAAATATTAAAATAGTAAAAAAATAATCCCTTTCATTCCCCTGTATATCAAAGGGCTTGTTTTAACCACTTACCTTGACTTCATATCATTGTCATTTGCTGTGTCTGGTTTGGAGCATGGCAGACAGAGAGGGATGTGCAAGTGCCACTAGAAGCCATCAAAGTCAGTGAAATTGGCCAGCTGGCTATGCAGACATCCCTTAGAAGTATTTCTAGCACATTTGGTTCCTGGCTGGGTATTGTAAATGGGGATGGAAGAAAGGAAATCTCTCTGTATGTATATCAGAGCTTTGAAAAAATGAATGTGGGACACGGAAACATGAAACTTGCAGTTTCTGACTCTCTACTAAGTCTTTATCCTCGCTGTTCTTCCCACCATTCATAAGCCAGAGCATTTTCCAGGCCTGGCTCATACAACACCCCTCAACACCCTGCTTAACTAAGCTCCCCATAAAATTTCCCATTATGTTGGCATCAGGTATAAGGAGTTGTTTTTTTTACAGAGACCTGTAGAAACAATACCTCCATACCTCCTTCTTTCCTCAAAACTAAGATAGCTTATTCTGTTTTATGAATGATCCCTGTTTGGGAAGGCAAGGAAGGAAAAGCAGTTATTACTTTTCTCCTTTGCTGTCACTGAACCTTCCCTGAATTTCAGCCCTTTCCTCTTGTGATGTATTGCTCCTCTGGAGATTTCAGCCCAGCCCAGCCCAGGAAGGGACTATCTGTGCAGTCTGTATCCTCTATATATAAAAGGAATGGACTAGATCCATCAGCACTTTAGTGCTTTTACTCCATAGCCCTGTTCATTTCAGTGTTTTTTAGATTATGCTGTAGCTGTTTAGACTCTGCCCTTGCTTTGCAGGTGAACTTTACTGTCAGGGAGATAGAAATGATTGAAAAGTCCTGTTTTTTCCTCAAGAATTGCAGGCTTTTTTTGTCTATTCATCTGTCGATGGGTACATTTCCTTCCTCGCTAACATGGTATATTCAGAGAGGATGACATTTTTCCCCCTGAAACATTACCCAGGCAAATCCTGCAATAAATAGCTGTATCTTCAGAGGAGTTTGAGATACTGATTGTAGGACTCTTGAAAAATGTCTCTGTAAGGAGCAAAGGGTTTGAAATCATCACTGCGATTAAGCAACCAACATCCTGCGCTCTGGTTTGGGGTACAAAGGTAGCATGAAAAAAGTACCGTACCTTGTTATAAGAGCTGTTCAGTCATCAGACCTCTGCAGCCTTTTTAAAATGACCTGAATTTATACTCAAATTCATTAAACTTCACTTACAAATCAGAGAGTAAAGGTGCAAATGCAGTACATGGAGGCCACACAATGGGTAGGGACACAAATACAGACACAATATGACCATCAGGCCACTGTGATAAATGTGGGACAAAAGGCTGCAGCCCAGAGCACATGGCTTCTGGTGGAATCGTGATCAAGGGATTTGAAAGGCTTCCCTGTGAGTACTGAGCCATCTCAGAGATCCTTCCTAGCAACAGAAGCCAGACAGCAAATTTTTCTGCCCATGGGAAATGTACTTCCAGCCTCACTTTCTCATTCTGTAAACCCTGGAAATAGCATTCACCACCCCTTCTTTACCCAGATGTTGTTTTTTTCTGTCACAGATCTCTCTTGTTTGACGTGGGACCTTTTTTCACTCAAGCTGTTGCTAGTTCTGGAGTAACATTTCAGGTGACATGAGGGTACGTTTCCTCTAGAATGTCTATAATGCCTTTAGTCAGCAGGAATGAAATTGTCTGATGATGCTTCCCCCTTGGGGACCTCACTGAAAATGAGATGTATCTCTCATGAGGACCTCCCAGCAAGCACAATTGAAATATCTTTGTGACTGCAGTAGCTCCATAATGAATGAATTAATTGATTTCACCCTCAGCTGCTTCTTCATTGACCCTTCTGGCCCCACAGTGGGGAAAGAGCTTTGTTCCAGTTCCAGTTTCCCTTAAAGCCCTGTTCTATTTAAAGATAGATGGAATGGCTTCAGGGCTTCAGGTGGGAATCTCAAACTCTCGGCTTTGGATAACAGCTGGATGGGTCATCAAGCTCAGCACCTAGTTTGGAGTGAAGGATAAGAACTTGCACCTCACAGCCACCCTCAGGGTCTCCATTACAAGATGGAAAGTGGGTCTGAGAAGTCTGATGTCCAAACAATCTACCTCGATCTGCATGACTGTTCAAGGAGCTTGTGTGGACATCTTTGGGTCTCCAGGTAGCCCCAGTTCTCCCACTGCTTCTTAAACCAAATCATGAATTAAGAAAACACTCTGGGACTCACCTATCCATCAGGATCCTTCCCATCTTTGAAAGTGTGATGTATCCAGCTCTCCCTGTGACCAGCAAGGTGACCGTAGCCACCAGATGGATGGGGTAGATTTCTACTTTTAACCTGGGAAAAGGCAGGGCTGTGCATAGGAATTCAGGAAGAAAAGGTGGAACGATTCATCAGTGCCTGACAAAGTGGGTGCTATTCGCATTTACAGGCAAACAGCCCCCCCTCGAGTCAATGCCGCAGGGTGTCATCTCAGGGTACTTCCCCCAGGCTGCTCAGGCTGGGATAACCAAGCAGTTAAGTAGCTACAGAGGAAGCCTATGGGACTCAGCTCACTACGGGTCTGTTAAGAACCCAACGTTATTCTCACACCCTGGAAAGTCAGTCAGGCAGTGCTGAAGGTCTCGTACAGGGCATCAGATATGACAGCTACTGCTTGGTGTGTTCCAGTCAACAGAGAGCAGCTCTAGAAGTTACATCCTCACCAATTTTAACTGTAGCTCTGAAGTGACTCCTCAATGTCTTTGCCTCTGTTTCTCTGTTGCGTTCTCCAGTCCTAATCGGATTCTCTGTCCATTGCAAAATACTTGGTGTCAAATATCGCCCTTCCTCTGGAAAATACTGCTTCTATTATACCTGTTTTAAATCTTAAAATGGAACGTTTCCATTTATTTTTTCAAGGGAATGTTTGAAACATCTGAATGTTCAAAATGCCCATGTTCCACTTTTAATGAAAGGTTGAGATTCTTGATTTTGTTGAGTGGACATGGACATTTCTCAAAGTTTCATGTTCTGTGGAAACTAAAGTATTTCCTCCCATTTGGGGGATGAAAACAGACATTGAAAAAGTGGAGTTTTTCTCCTGGATAAAGTCTGCATTCTGGTTATCTGATATATAAATTTCGGAGTGGCCATGAATGCACTAAGCAACATCATGAAAGGGTTAAATGTGATTGCACATGGTCCTGAATCCCTCTTTAGCAATATGCCCCTATTATGTAGGACTTCTAGGTGAGCCAGTAACAAAGAATTAAATCAATCTCCTATTAGTAGATGCCACCTGCCTGAGGACACAGCGTTTAAAGCCCACGGCTGTATTGTAATGGTTTTTATTGTGGTGACATCTGAGAACCGCAGGTGTGGATGAGATTTCACTGGTACTGCTCATTGTGAAAAGACAAAGCAAAAGTCAAAGCACTTGTAGTGTAAATACAGCACCAGGGGACACAAAGCTGGAGTTACACAGGTCAGGGAAGGACACAGCAAAGTGTTCTCATGGATTTGCCCTCAGCCTCTTCCTTTGGTGTAAGCATCCAACAAGCGCCCTGATGTTCCTTGCAGCAGATGCTAAGAGCAAGAGACTGGATGGGGCAGTCAGGAGATAGGGGTCTACATGGAGGAAGCTGTCACATCTGCAAATACATTCTGGACACAGAAGAGGAATCAAGACCCAGGTTCCATTGCCATGGGAGGAATGGATGAATCTTACAGAGAGCATTGCAAGGAAGGTTCAGGTATCTCTGGACAGCTGCTTGCTATGTCTCAGACCTGTTTTGACTCACTTTTCCCCTTGTCCCATTTCCACTCTAAGCCATCAGGATGGGCTGTGCTGGAAGGCTTGTCGCTATAGCTGCTAGAGAGGAAAAAAGCTTCATCCACGTGTTAAATAGGAACTGTGAAAACAGTAAATGGGATGCCTTTGTGAAGGAGGCAGAGGGGATGCCCAAACTACCACTAGCCTGCCCGCATCCCCTCAGATCTCTGTTTTGTGGTCCATTTCCAGCTGTGCCATCCTCAGAGATGGTTCAGATTCAGCATTCAGAACTGAGCACCTAGGGCCAGCTCAGCACCCAGGGCTGCCCCAAGCAGACATCTCCCTCAAAATAGGACTGACTGAAGCACTGCCCAGTCTCCTCTCACTCCTTCTCATTTCTTTTTCTGCTATGTTTCACTTTGGTAGAAGGAAATTGTTTTGACTGTATCTTCCTTGTAGACATTAAATACCTTTCAAACCAAGGTCATAGTCCCTGAAGCTACACAGCATGCATGAAGATAACAGTTCAAACTGGGTTTGCTGCCCTCGTGGCAGACAGGGAGCTGCTACTGCTTGTCATGGGGGTTTCTCTCCAGGCAGCATCACAGTTCTGTATCCTGAGTTTCCAAGGGGAGGAAGAGATCTTGTGAGCCCTCTTTTGCTTCCATGTGCGCACCTACAGTAACAGGCATGTCAGGTCTCCCAGGTAATCTAAAGGGTGGCTATCTGTACAGTGCTTTGGGGTTTTTAGTATGCACCCACAGGTTTCTACTTCCAAGGAGAAATAAGGCATCCATAACATCGAGACAGCACGGAGAGGTACAGCCTTGAAACAGGAACAACTAATGATATGTGGCAGGTAGGCAGGGCCTGGACAAAGTGCTGCATGGCAGCGTACATGCCAAGTGGGTTCTTGGCAGCTGGTTCATCTTCCCACGTCACATCTGGTGTTTGAATAGAGGAAAACACATGAGTTTACTTCCAGTGCCTCTCCCTGTCAGGCAGGTGACCTTTTCATAGCTCTGGAGCTCAGGGGAGAAGGCAGCCTACAAAGTGTTCAGACGGTGCTTGGCAAATGAAGACATGTAAACGAGGTGAGCAATGATGGGGGGAGCTGGGGAGCACCAGGCATCAGCAGGCACTGGAAGCCTGTCTCATTAGCAGGGGAATGTTTGCTTTGGCTCCCATGCTGAGGAGCAGCAGAGAGGGCTAATGGCTGGGACTGGACAGTACATGGGTTGGGATGGAGCACTGGGGATGGTTTATCCCATCTGGGGAAAGGAAGCCAGGCTGGCAGCTCTCACTGTATCACAGCTTTGCTTACAAAGCACTCAGGAGAGTGCACAGGGTCTCACATTGCTTTGTGCTGCCACTCTGCCAAGGGAGGAGCAATTTTTCCCCGCTGACATCATCCAGTACACCCTGAATCCCCACCTCTTAACACCCATGTGTGATACCCACCACAGACACATGAGAGCCAGGTCCCACAGCTATCTTTGTGCTGACGTTCAGTGTTGTGGAGCTCGTACAGAGCCTGTGGTCATCGCAGTTGACTGCTTGGTGTCTTCTGGCCCCTTCAATCATCGCTTTAGAAAAGGCTGTTAAGCCTAGAAAGGCAGAAGTGTTCCCCTTTATGTTAGTAAATGTCAATTTTGTGCCAGTGTACACAACCCATGTGTAAACCTTAATCCCTGCTTCAGAGCATCTCGGTTTCTCCCTCCCTTTGCGCCTCTTTTGCCCAGAGCAAGCACAAGATCCCAGCTGGCCCCCTTCCCTGTTGGCTTCTCATAGGCACCAGCCTCCTTAGCCAGCCAACGTTGTTCCCACTGTGCCTTGTTGCTGCTGATAGGGGAATCTGGGCTAGAAGAGCCCTTCCTGAAGCCAGTGATAACTGTCTAACCCCTGACTAACTGCAAGAGGGAGCCATTTGGTCCTGGAGTCCATCTCATCCGACCCATCAGAAAGCAGAAAGCATTTGTTATCTGACTGATCCTGACTATAACCCTCAGGAAGGCTTGAATGCGGTAGATGCAAAGATGACTTTCCGCCGGGTGAGCTAAAAGAGCTGGAAGCAATGATTGCTTGGATTACAGCAGACAACAGCTTTGTGATTTGTACACAATGAGGAAATTGGATCTGGGTTTGGATTTGCAGCTATAGGTTGCTCAGATTCTTCTGCATCACTCGCTCGCTTCTGGGAATGGTCAGACAAGATGAGTTTTGGTTGAGTAGCTTATGTTTGCTAAAAGTTTTTTTGATAGGAAATGTGATTCAGTGGTTGTGGATTTTCTGACTAGATAAAAAGTTTGCAAACAGATCTGTTCTCGTAGAAATAACTTCCTGGATTGCAGTTGTTCTGAAAGAGAAAAATCAATACAATGTTCAACCTTAAGCTGCAAGGCACTTTTTCATCAGAACTCCCCATGTCCCCTTCCCCCAAATACTTTTGATGACAAATGTGGGGATTATTTTTTTCTCTTGAAACTAAGCAAAAGAAATAAACTTTAATAAAAGGAGTTTTCATGTTGGTTTTCCATGGAAGATGGGCAGCCAGCAGGTCTTTCTCACTGGTTCCAAATAAAACGCCTGTTTATTTCCACAGGTGAACAAAGTGGGTAGATATCATCCCTTACACACTCCCTGCCCTGAATCCGAACTTGAGGACCCACAGGTTCTTTCTTCAACAGTGAAAAGATTCAGTTGGTTTCCTCCTCTTATCTCTTTCAATGTCTCTCTGCCTTTTGGGGTATAGCCAGCACCAGAAGGAGAATGAAATAGAGTGAAAAAAGCTATTCTGTCTCCTGCCAGCACAGTTGGAAACAGGAAGTACTGGAAATCTCTCAACTAAGCCTGGCTTTGGAAGACCTCCAGCCCACTTTGTTGAGGCCTGAGGCTCCAGAGGTTCTGCAAAGCAGCTGAACTCCTTGGGAAATGCCACATACAACCCAAAACCTTCAGCTGTGTGAGTGAAGCAGCACTGATGGGAGTTGGGAGAGAGGGTACACCTGCCTGGAAAATAAACTTAGTCCAGAAAGTCTGCATTTTGTATGTTGTAGGTTCATGCTCATGCACATTTATGTGCATGCTGATAAATTTGATTGCAGGTTTGCTCATGAATGGTTATTGGGGAATCATGGTTGCCTCTGCTCTGAATTCAGTGGTGAAGATGAGAAGGAACAGAATGCAGAAGGACTGATAGACTGACCTATGCACCAACACAACGTATTAGACCTTTAGGCATCCTCAATCTCGATATCCACAGATCTTCAGACCCAGAACCACAATTAGCTAAAGACTTTAGTGCATGAAGGGTTTTATGGACACCAGGCTCCAAGCCCTAACCCTACAGCCAACTAACAAACCACATAAAGCTCTCGGCAGCCGCAGACTCTGTGCTGGTGCCAGGCACACAGAGACAGCACACACACCCCCTTGAGACAAACTGAAAAGGCTGCAGCAAGCTTTTATTCCCTGGCACTGTTAGCTAGATCAGGGAGTTAACAGAAGTTTGGGGCTTTGGCATCTTTTGCTGCTGGCAGCTCCCTCTGTCTTTCTAATCATGGTCCGAACCCATGCCCAGCCCAGCCAGGAAGGCTCTGAAGCTGCCTCCAGTTTGCAGTCCAGCAGGATTTGAACACGCACACAGTGAGTGTTCGGATTCAGAGCCTGGAGATGACAAGGAATGAACAGCATGTGCACTTGATGGGAGTTTTCCAGCCTGTTGAGGTGTCACCAGGAAGCCAGGCCGTCCTCCCATCTCCAGCCTCTGCAGCTGAGCTGTCTTTTAATGCCAGGATAACTCACTATAGCAATGATTGCACACGGCATTATCTCAGCATGACAAATGCAGGCCATGTGTGCAATGCCTCTGCAGCCCTGGACCGCAATCTCTGATGCAGTTAACACTTTGATGCAATCAGGAGAATCATTTGCCAAGGCTGGCTCAGCAGAGGCATCTGGCTCCGAGTTCCTGCCCTCTGCTCCTATGGGAGACTTGCTCCCAGTCCCTACCTGTGGCCATGGTAACAAAGAGAAGTCCTGCTCACCAGGCACTCTCCATCTTATCGACTCCTGGGGAGATTTATGGCAGAGACCTGATCTTAGTGAAGGAGCTAAATCCAATTCACTAAGGAATTACAAGCCTGTCCGATCAATAATCTATTTATCTCCTTCACTTTGCCATCTTTAAACACTCCAACCCTGTCAAAAGAAATTGAAAGCTTTTTAAAAATGAAATTATTGAACTCAGGAATAGCTCTGCTAAGGCTTCTGGAAAGGATCTTGGGACCAGGATGGATCCAGTTCGGATCCAGCATTTAGGAGAGATCTGTCATAGCTCCAGTCACTCAATAGCAATCCAACATGCAGGCTGGGCTGGCAGGGGATGCTGGCACTCAACACGCAAGAAGAATCCAGCCCAAGAGATCACAGATAGTGTGGACACAGAGTTTGCAGGAGATACTGCGTTGACATTAGTGACAAGAAGGAATATGCATATGATGGGAGCACAGCAGGGTGACTTCCACTGCTTTCTCTTTGGCCAACATGAAGCATGAGGAAGGATAGTGTGACCTCTGCTGCACTGGCAGAGCCTAAGAAAGGCTCATACACCTACATACAGGTATGAAGAGCTAAGAGGAAACCGAGGAGTAAAGTGTTATCCTCACCTAAAGATGCCCCACTGAGGTCTGTGGAAGCTGCAAGCTGCATCGTTCATGACTTGGGCGCTCATGAAGTTTAGTTTCACCAGCACATGACTCTGGAAGCAGTCACTGTGTCTCCCAAGGGCAGAGATTTGCTGCATCCCAGAAATAATGTTATTTTTCAGCTCTCATGCAGCACTTCTAATTAATGGATTGTAAAGTAGTTTGCATGGAAGAAAACCCAGGTGCAGACGGGAAGATAGCTGAAAGGCAGCCAGTGTCAGAACCAGGAGCAGCATCATAGCCTCTTTGAAGAACAGTTTCCATCACTTTCCATGCTTCATAGCTAGTTTTATTTAACAAATTAAGGCCTTTACAGACCCAGGGGAGACTGCAGGATCAGGTCACATGTGTGAACTACCTGCATAGTAAAGCTCCTTGTCAAAGAAGTATTTATGCCCATGCTTAAGCTTTTCTTCAGACCAACCCTGAAACAGAGCATTATTCACAGTCCCAGTGGGACTGAACCATACATTCTGCTGCCCAAAAGACAGGCTATTTTCTTGGGTATAGAACTGGGGAATCACAAGCACAACTGCTCTATGAGAACAACAGTGCTGGAGAGCAAGCATGATGTTCAGACCTGAAGTCCTAGATGTTTGGGTAAGTCAGAAGTTCAGCTGACATTAATGATGTTGCACTGGTGCCTGTGGGTGATTTCAGCCCTATGTATGATCTTGCCTATGGGATCTTTGCTCCCCAGATTGCCCCACTTTTAGCAGGTTCATGTACCTATTTTTCTACACCTAGAACTTCAGCGCTGAAGCTGGAAGGGGGTAAATTTCTCTGGAGATGGAAAGGGGCCACTTCCTCTCACTTCAGAGGTTAATGAATGGAGTTATTAGGATAATGAATGCTTTACTAATGAATTAGTCATCCTCTCAAGCCATTTCTGCCTTTCACTGTGCAGAGAGGCAGGGCCCTCTGGAGATATGACGCATTCCTTGCTAAGGTAGCTACCTTGTCCTGGCAACAGCCTGGTTTTGGAACAGGTTATTACTGTGCATCTGCCTTTTCAGCAGGGGAGTTACTTTCCTGTGGGGGGGAAAACCTCAAAGCCAAGAGCTGTGCTGGAGTTTGAGAGGCTTCAGGCTGCCAACTGCTAGGATTAAGCTGTTTTCCATACTGTACTAACACTTCTAGCTCTGATTTAGGGACACCTTCGCTGTCCCCATCCTGAATCCATTTCACCCACCCAGCTCTGCCATAAGCCTCACTTCGCTGAAGAGTCATCTACCCTTGTCCTTCAATTCCTTCCCCTTCATGCTTTTCCTGCTTTCTCCATCCCCCAGTGCTACTCCAGCTCTGCCCCCAAGCCTGTGTATTGATCCCAAGCCTGACTTGAATCACACTCTTTTTTCAGTTCCTCTTTCTAAAGAGCATTACTGAAGCACTTCACTAAAGAGCAAATGCCCTTGTTGTTTTCTTGTTATTGGGAGTGTGAGAAAGTGCGTGGTGACCATGCCAAAAAAATCACTAACCTCTCTGTGGCAGTCCGATGGAACACTGAAAAGAGCTGCTGTCACACAAGGACTTCCTCCCTTGGCTGCAGGCACATTTGAACTGTGATTTCCAGGGGATGGAAAGCTGAGAATGATTTCACAACATTGCTCCTGAAATAATCCCAGTGAAGTCAACAGGGCTCCTTGAACAGTGCTCGGAGTCACAGCAGCATCTCCAGGCAGAGTCCCACGGACAGGTTAAGGTAAAGAAAAGGCACCCCTCCTCTTTAGGGTAAATTCAGCAGCACTCAAGATCACTGTCATTGTGTTTTAACACAAGGTAAGGAACTTCATCTAACATAGAGTTTTTTAGCAAAGAGTGTTTTAGGTAAAGGATTTTGTATAAACAGTTCAGATAAGATGAAGACATCCAGTAGAAAATGTGTAAGGTCTTGGGTTTTCTGGTCAGTTCTTATCAGAAGGAGAAAGCAGAATGGAAAACTTGACCTTTTTAGTGAGAAATGAATACAACACTTTGCTGTTTCAGAAGGGGAAAAATGTACAAGTCATTTAGAAATCTTGAAGTGTAGCAAAACAGGATTGCCATCTCCAGGCCTGCACTTCTCAAACCCCACGCAGTTCAGGTCAGCTTCTCTGACTTACCCTGCGAGCATTCGGCTCTGCTCTCAGTGCTCAGGCTTCAATCCTCAAATCCTATTTCCCCCTCCCACTCCAGCTTCCTCCTAACTTGTTTATGATTGCCCCTCGGACTGTGCCCCCATTGGACATCCATCCATCTCTACGTGGCCGGCCACCTTGTCGGTTTAAATGCTGCCTGTGATTTATGGCCCAGCAGCTCCCCAAACACATCACCTGCATGTTATATGGCACTGGCGTAATGCTAAACTCTCTTAAACCGCAGAAGAAGCAAACAGTGTTAATTTATGCCTGGCTTTTTCTTTATTCCCCAGCATAATTCTGGTTTTAATGTGCCATCTACCCCACATCAATATCCTTTCACCGCTAGCAAGTAAAAACAAAAAAGTGGGTATTTCATTTCCCATTCTCCTCCTCTTAAAAGGGTTTGCGGAAACAAGCTCACCCAGCGTGCCCTGAGGTTAGACAAATAGGAAGCAACTGTGGTCTGCCACAGGGATGCTTTATGGGAAGGGCACTGCCCACAAGTGTCAGCTTGCTGGGAGAGTTGTTATCTATTGAATATAACATGTGCAAGCATCTCCTGCATCAGGTTAAATTACTAGCCTGTGCTAATACAAGGCTTTAATACATAGCTAATTTATCAAGCTGCTATTACCATTTACTTCATGGAGCTATAGTCAGAAAGCACATCAAAGTGCTCCGGGAAAGGAGAATAAAAACAGGAGGCACAGAGAAAGGTAACAAAACATTATACAAAATCCATTGAAAGGCTGGGGGCACTGACAAAATGACTTGGCAGCTCAAAGGACTTGTATCCTGCTGGATCCAGGACATCTGCCACTAGTCTTTTCCTGATTGAGGAGCATTTAATTTCTCCCTGGTGTTCCAGCAGCCCCACAGGGTTCTGCAGACTGAAATACAAACCCTGTCGTCCTGGGTGCTTTTCACATCTCTCTAAAACTATGGGTCAGGGAAGAAAACAGTTCACCACCTGTAGTTTTCCAAGAGAGGACAGAAAGACGGTGATCTTGGTAAAATCCCCATTGAACCTAGGTCTTCAGAGTGCTCTTGAAACACAGTAGAAGGTTGCTGTGCTTCTGATCCAGCCGCCCCAGAGCCTGCATGTGTTCCTAGTCTGGGAAGAGAATCAAGGTCACTAGGTAAACCATCTACAAATGAAATCTTTACACACACATAACCTATTGATTATGAAACATCAGCAGCTCAAAATGCAGGCCCAAAAAGGGTCACATTCTTCCGGTCTTCTGCTGCTTGTTTGCTCCCTATTCAGTCTCTCTTCCAGATGATACCCTAGAGATTCCCAGTAGAAAGAGGGCCCTGACAGGACTCGGCATGTGAAGGAGGAGAGGTGCAGATGTTCATTCCCCCAGTTTTGCTTGAATAGTCACACATACCAAGTGCATGAAAACACATCTAATGCTGGTGTTCAACACCCCGAACTCACTTTGCTCTTTCTGGTGATGTGCAGTGTCACTTCACTGGGATTATATCAACGCCAGAGAATTCCTGCATCCTGGTGTGTGTCACTGCAGTGCTGAGCAGTGCTAAAGGGGGTCACAGCCTCACAAGCTAGGATAGGCCTTGAGAGTCCTCCCTTCCCTGCTGGACAACCAGAGTCTCCATTGGGAATCAGGCTCCTACCTTGGAGCTACTTGAGATCATAGTTTGTTTTCCTCCAGAAAGAACTGTTGCAAGACAAATACCTCTCTCAAGATGACTGAAGTGGGTTACATTAGACAGTGCTCTGGAGACTGTCTGACAATTTCCCATCAGCAGCAAGCACTGCTCTGCTCCTTTCTTTTCCTCCTCTCCACCATCCCTCTTCTCCTTTTGTTGTTAAGAAGTCTGTGAAAAGAGGCCTCTCTGAAGGGGAAACATCTCAACCAAAACGTGTTCTTTGGCAGCTGGAAGAATCAGTGCTAACATGGCCCATGACTGAAGACAACAGCTTATGCTCAGGCATCAGACAGGCAAAATCACGATGGGGTTGAACAGAGCAAATCAGCGCTCTGCAGAAATTGAGCCCCTTGGGCCCTTTAGGGAGCAGGACTATAGTTTATAAGGTCAAGCATCATGTAAATTCCAAGCATCAGGCACTGGAATAGTCTGAGGGATTTTATTTGCTGTTCTCCAGAGCTGCTGAACAGATGTGAAGGGTCCTCTGCTGCCCATTGCCAAGCTGCTGCCTTCCCTCCTGCTCCCATATGCCCCCAGAGAGCATCCTGTAGGCTTTCAGCTCCAACATCACTTCTCTGCTGCCTGCTCCTGCTCCCTCCCAGCTAGTGAGATGCCTTACCCAGGACCCCCAGACACCATGTTTGCTTTCCAACTAGAAACAATTGGCACAGTGGCACCTTCAGGCAGTTTAAGGCTGTAGCACTACAGGGATCTTGCACCCCAGCAGCGAGGCCAGAGAGACAGAATGAATGTTAAACGCTTGTTTCAGATTATAAATCAACAGCAGGCACCCCTCAGACAAACAGTCTGATCAGATAAAGCAAAGTTAGCGTGATCAGATAATAAAATCTCAACATCAGATACTGCAAAACGGCCTGGACATGGAGTTTCAATTGGCAAAAGCCTTTTGGCTGGAAAAAGGCATCAGGAGATTTTTTTATGCTCTGTGTTGGGTATTCCACAGAGCTCACTCTCTTCTCCCTGCCAAAACACTGTGGCTATAGCATGATGGAGCCTTACAGCATCCCTCCATTCCAGCACTCTTGATAAACCAAGGGTTATTGTGAGCATGTTTAAAAGGCTTAAACAGAGCAATAGGAGTGAGTAATCCCAGAGCAGGAGGCTGTCAGCAAATGCCCTGCTACCAGCTCCCTGCCTGTGCAGCCAGGCTCTCCAGTGGAGAAATGAGACAAGGACCTCAGGACCTCCTGCCTGCAAAAGGGACTGCAGCCACAGCAGTGTATCCTGCTTGCAGCAGTCAGCTGAAATCCAGTTTGAGACTGTCTGGTCATGAGCAGGGCTCTGCAGTTGAGGAAATGCAACTGGGATTATACTAACAAAGAACAAATTGAATTCACTGGGTTAATGTCGTCTCAATTTTGGAAGACTTTTGTGCTGGATGGTTAGAAAGCTGCTGTCTCTCGCAGATGAGCTGCGCGGATTGCCAAATGTATGTCCTCTCAGAGGGAAAAATGAGGTTTGTTTCTGTTACAAACCTACATGACTTGTTTCAGTTTTACAAATTCCCTTTCGAAATGGAAGCATTTGAGAGGCAAAGAAATTGCTTCGAAAAACCCTCACCAAAAAAAAAACACCCTTCTGAAAACTTCTTGATCTGATTGATCCATCAAGCTCAGGGTAAGGGAAAGATGACTGCTGCTGCTTTTGTTGCATGCTCTTGTGATTAGCTTCGAACAAGATGCTCCCTCGTCACCCATGGCCCTCCACGTAGGGCACTGTGTACTCTATCGAAGACATCTGATGCTGGAGCAGATCTTCTGCTAGAAGGAAAGGATTTATTTGCCCAGGACTGTTTGAAAAACCATGATTGGACTTAAATTCAAAATAGCAATAAGAAAAATATAGAGAAATTCTAGGAAGTCTTTCCAAAACTGACCAAGACCGGCTTTTCTAGGAGCAGAATCAGGAGCATCCACACAAGGAAACTCCACACAGTGGAGTTTCTGGTTTCCCAGCATCCATCTTCCCTCAACCCTGTATCTGTTTTGGGTTCTCCAACTAACCTGCTATTGTTTCTGAGGATATTATTTATGTTCCCTTCTCATATAAAGACACTGTGCTAAAGCAGAAAGCCACAACCACCAAAAGCCAGTGTCCTGGCCTGAATTAATGATACAGGGCAGAATCCCTGTGAAAGGGAAGAAGGTTTCTTTTCTAAGACTGTAGCTAACAATAACCCTACACGTCCATTTGATGTTCCTATACGACATGAAATGTAGATTCACCTGAGTCTTTGGGATTCCTGCTAGATGTTTGGAAGGATGTTTCTGTCACTTGGGGAACATAAAATCCTCTCCTTGTTGTTTCCAGGCTGTGCAAACTTCCTTTCTGATCTCCCTTGTCTAGGCAGATGAGGCCACTGATGGGAATTACGGATTACTTTTTGGTGCCAGGGGATCTGAACAAGGGCCAGAATGGAAGAACTCATTCACATCACCAAATGAGAAATGAGTCTGGCTCCAGATTAAAACTCTGCTGCTCAGGTCCATCCATGTCACTGAGGATAATCAGACAAGTAGCTTGTTGGAATCCTAATCCACAAAAAGGGAGAGCCTGAGCTAATGGCTAAATAATCCCGACATAAAAACTTCCATGAAGCTCAATGAGAGAACCAAGCTTCCAAATGCTTCCAACTAAATGAAACATTAAAGTCAGCACCCAGGGTGCAGGCTGGGAGCTTCCCAGGGCAGCTGGGGTGAGCAGCATTTCCAAGGCAGCATCTCTGACTCTCGCTCTCATCTCTGGCAGTGTTAAGCACTGTCACAGCACTGGTGAAATGTGGTCTTTATTGGTTCATTTTCATCTCTGTGCATCTGTTTTCATAAGGAGGAGCCTGCATGGATGGAAAGGGGTTTTCTTTGCTTCTTTTCCTTCTTTGTACACCTCCTCCACCTGCACCCCCCCCCCGTTTCTCCCACCTCAGAGTGTGCTGGCTGAAATAAAGCCCACTTAGTGATGAAATCCATGGCTCAAGCCTATGGACATCAGTGTAGCCTTAATGAAATTTCTGTGCCTGAAACACATTAGCAGGCAAGAGCTGAGACTGGAAAAAGATGAGGCTGCTGAATAGCTGGCAGAAGTGGAGCTTTCAGAGTGGAAGACAGCAGAGAGAGCAAGGCAGCAAAAGGAGACAGACACACAAGGGGCTGCTTCTGTCTGAGCTAACTTTCTCTTCCAGAGCCACAGACCTTTCTCCATGCCTATCCTCAAATGCCTTCTGATTTCCAGCTCCACCATGGGCCTACAGAGCCCTTACATACTCCCACAACACCCTCCGTCCTCACTGGCCTGGACCCACAGCTAGCAGAGAGCTCCTGTGATTATAAAGCAATAACCTGCTGCTTATTTTGTTAGGCAGATGATTGAAGGCTTTCTGAGCTCTGTAGAGAGCTAGATTCACTTGAAGTGGAGGCCTGCATACTTTTGCTTGATTTCCATTCCAATTTTACTCTGGATTTTGGTCCATTTTACACTTAGGCAGCAGAAAGATGCTCAAAAGTCTTGTTTATGTGCAGAGGGAAGAGGGGGGGTCAGAGGCAGGGAAGCCCACAGGCTGTTATAATTTCCCCCTGAAGACAGACTGACTAAGTAGATGGCATCTCCGAGCCTAAAAATGTGCTCCCATCAGCAGGTTTCATGACCATGCATCATTCAGTTGGTGACATCATTTGAGTCACCTCTCAAATATGCACAGGGCATCAAGGGAAGAGAGGGGGAGCAGGGGAGAGGCACATGGCTGGGAAACACAGCAATGGAAATACAACTTCACTGATTTGAGATGACTTTCCCAATGTATTCAAACCTGAGGCTGTGCACACTGAAAACAAGGAGGCAGCTGAGGATGCACCATCCTTCCTGGAGAAATCTGTCCAGAAATGCTTGGTGCATTCAGGCATTGGAAGATTCAGTATACCCAACACCAACTGATGCCACACAATATACAATTAAGCCTTACTGGTGCAGCTGGCTTTGCCCAAATCACGCAGGAACCCTGGGATTTGACACAGCCATAAGCTCCCTTCCAGCAGCAGCATCCACTGACCCCTTACCCTGAGCACTTAACACAATTTCTCTGTGCCTTGAAACAGCGATGGCCATCAGACTCTTAAAACTCAACACAAACACAAACCACCCTTTTAAGATCTATTGCCTTCTCTTTAAAAATGAATAATTATCAATACTATTGCAGGATGTGTCCTTTCAGTTGCTATATTTTCCTTTAATTCCAGCATAATTTTCCTCTGACTGTCTCCCAGAAGATGAGCGTTTGACTTTTCTGCTGTGCCCTTTCAGATGCATTACAGACTCTGATCTTGTCTGTGCCCTTAATGGCTTTGTCAAGAGACCATTTCTGCTCAAACCTTGTTAGTCTTAATAAAGATAAAGTCATAAATACTTTTGTGGTTTCCCTTTTGCTGGGCTGTAATTTGGCTAACAAATTCAATTAATTTGGAAACTAATAATTATTTGCTTAGAAGCAGATTGAAGGAATTTTAGTTGAAAATGGACTTTTAATGGAAAGACGAGATACCAGTTCTTGGAAATAGAAACTAAATGTGGGAAATGGGATGAGTGACATTTTCAAAATCCTTTCTCATTAACCAGCTTTGGCTTTCAGTAGATGTCATTTTTATCCCCATTTGTAAAGCTAATATTCCTCTCTGTCACATCTGTTGGGCAGACAAATCCACAAAGCCAGAAAAACCTCAGCGATGGAGCTATAAAGGCAGTGAGATCTCATCATAAAGATAATGGTTCATTTTCAGAGTCTGAATCCCAGACTCCACTTTCTCCTGTAATTTCCAAAGCCACATCCAGGAAAACACTGCTCATGCCGTGCTGTTATGGAGTTTTACAGATGTGTTGTGATTTAAACGGAGAGTAGTTTGGTACTCTGTTTTCATTTGTTAATTGACTTCTCTCTTACTTAGGGTAGCAATTGGAGTAGTCGGTGATAAATGGATTACACAGTCCTCTTTCTTTGTTTCAGTGCAGCCTCTGTGAAATAATCACAAGTCCCTCCTGACACCAGGTAAAGGGGGGGTGGAAGGTGGAATTTGGGATTCCTTTCCTCTCCATCAGTGGAAGGACGTGGTTTGTAACTCAATATTTATCAAACAAAACTAATAAAGAGGCAAAGTACAGAGCCCACAACTCCCTTTTCCTGTATGACTTACAGTAATTCAGTCCTCCTTGCAAGAGCTCACTGAAATCCCCAACTCCTGTATACTTTGCACAACAGGTCTGGCTTCAGCAGAGCACAGCACATGACTATGTCCCTGCCTGGAAAACAGAAGATACTGGTGTGACTCCCCTCCATCCTTCCTGATGAATGGGACTGAAGGGCTTCCTTTACCTAAGGAACATTTCCAGCAGGGAGCTGTCTCTTGCACACTACAGCAATAGCATTTTCAAACAAAAAGAAGGAACACTGTGCAGGTCTTTGGAAGAAAAGCTTTGACAAACACCCTCAGAAGAGGTCTTTGGACTCTCTAAACGTGACCAGGAATTCACATTCTTTAGTATTCCTCTTCTAGCACTGAGATTTTAGATCCACCTTTAAAAAACATGTGATTCACTTCAGGTGCCTAAAAAGAAAGCAAAACTGTGCTTAACTATGTCCTTTATTGGATCTGGCCCTCAAAAACACCCAGAAGGTGTTGGCAAACTCTGCTGCAACTCCATATGGTTGCTTTGTGTCTCCCTCTGCTCTTTAAAGGGGAAGGTAGAAGTATTCTCACTCTCATCCAGACAAGCTCTGCTGCCAGGCTCTGATCTTCCAGATTATCACCCCTACAAAGAGGCAAAAAGACCTTTAACAAGGACTGGCTAGTCCCCTCTGCTGCTTCTCCAGCCAGCATTTCTTCAGTGTCAGAGCTGTAACTCTGCATCTTTCTACCTCTTCATGTGTGATCTTTCTGCTTGTTACTCAGTCCTCTTCTTCTCTCCCACTCTCCCTCTCCTGGCTTTCAATTTACTCCATCATCAACGCATTTGCAACAAGGAGGATCTCTCCTGTGCTTCTCACTGCCAGCCCATGTTGTCCTGATATGAAAAGGTAGTCAAGAAGGGGGACAACTATTCTTTTAGTGGAGATGAAGACTGCAGTCATGTTCCCAGCTTTATGTGGGACCAGAGACTGCAAGAAAACCAGAAGTTATAGGAACCATAACTGAATGACAGCAGACAGAGTTACAGTTTCCGGCACAGCAGCAACAGGTTTTAATTTGGATGTATGGAATGAGAGACTTTCGCCCTGATCCTTATAGACACTAATCACATCAAGCAGTAAGAACTGTTCTTGGAGATGGACTGACAGATGTGGGTGGCAAGAAAAGGGTTAAAAACATGCCTTACTTCAGTTTACAGCCTCTTTAATTCCCAGAGAAGCTGATGTCTCTATCTTATTCACACTACAAATATACATATATGCAATCCATACATATCTACATAGAATCATAGAATAGTTAGGGTTGGAAAGGACCTTAAGATCATCTAGTTCCAAGCCCCCTGCCATGGGCAGGGACACCTCACACTAAACCGTATCACCCAAGGCCTCGTCCAATCTGGTCTTGAACACTGCCAGGGATGGAGCATTCACAACCTCCCTGGGCAACCCATTCCAGTGCCTCACCACCCTAACAGGAAAGAACTTCCTCCTCATATCCAATCCAAACTTCCCCTATTTAAGTTTGAACCTGTTACCCCTTGTCCTATCACTACAGTCCCTATATACAGTCCCTATACTACGGTATACATGTATAGTCCCCTTGCTGAGCCTGAGCCCTCATTCTCCACTCACCAGGATGGGGAGGGGGAAACAGCAATGGAACAATACTCCATCCACTCTCAGAGCTCCAGCTCTGAGGCCTATGACACAAGCATTTTGCTCCATTCATTCCTCACCAATCAAGTCCTTACTTATACTAAGGATTCAGACATGGTCTGCTTTTTATTGTACTACTCCTTGTATTAATTCCACCAAAGGCCGTATGGGAAATGAAGGCTCCCCTTTGCTGTGCATTTTTCCAGCTCTATCTTACTTCCTTCAGTAAGTCTTCTGTAAAAAGCAGCAACCAGAAAAATCCATCTCAAAAAAAGCTTTGCAGAACAAACAAGGAAAATCCTTGTTACTTCCACCACCAGCTGCATAAGACCAACCAAGAGTCGAGGCAGTGCTCTAACATCCTAAGTGTTCACATCATCCTAAGTGATGATGTGAAAGCAGAAGCAAGGGAGAAGGAAGCATAAGGGGTGCTGAGAAAGAGACAGAGGTTTCTGCACCTAGGAGAGAGCCTCATCTCAACGTTCAGACTTGTTCTTGCCAACAGAAAAGAAGATGCTGGAACCCTGGAGCTTAGAGCAAGCTCTGCTCTCAACTTGCATGAGTGTAAATCTGCAGGAGGATTGTGAAACCACTGAGGGAAGAAAGAAGAGACACTTGCCTGTAAATACCTTCACAGCATCCTTTGAAGCCTGGGTGAAGGTGGAAGAGCTTCAGAAGGTGCCATCTGGCTGGCAAGTGATCTGGCACTGGGCAGAGCCTTGGCTTCGGCTTGAGCTGGCATTTAAATTCAGAAGAATCCTGGGCAAAGCCTCAGGCACCACCTTATCCTTCCTCCCACATCGCATGACAAACTGCAGCTGAGCCTGGTGTAACGACCTCGAGTGCTGCTAAACCCCAGCTATCCTGGCAGGTGATTCCAGGCAAGCCAAGGACTTGGTCTGGCCGTAAACCAGATCCTACCTATGCTAGCCAAAGCTGCAATCTGTCATTCACCACAGCTGCTTGCTGCAGACATACAGCCTGGTCCACAGGCTCAACTGGGGCCGAGAGCCTTCTTCCCTTCTTGTGGGATCTTGCCATCCCTTTCTTCTCTCTAGTACTTGAAGTTAAAGCAAAATAAATGGTAGGAACAAACACCGGGGAAAAATACCTCAAGTCAGATCAATGGATCTTATTTTTACATCAGTCTTAAAAGTTTCCTTTCTCTTTTACAACATTTGCTTCGATTTTCTTCGGTCTTTCATCCTAATAAAGTTACAACCTGAAACAAGGGGGAGGAAAAAAAATCCCACTTCCAAGCAGGGCTTTTCTTAGTTTCTCTTTTTCACTTAAATCTGCCGCAATATTTAGAGTTGCTTAAAATGAGGAAAAATTGCCCTTTTATTCTCACAGAAAGGCTGTTTCAAAGAATCAGCAGTTTCTGATGAAAAATGCTTTGTTGCAATTTCCCAACCAGGGCTTTTACTGAGTGCACTGAGCATAGTCCTGTTAATGCTTCCTTTCCCCATGGAGGGTGCAGATTCTCTCCTCAGACTTCATGGGAGCTGTGACGTTGTGTATATCAGCCCTACATGGGGTTCATAGCTGGTTGGTGAGAGCAGACACTTGAGCTTCCCATTTTAAGGAGATCTCTGCAGATACAGACCTAATATTATAAATTTTCCACTTTTCTACCTTTCCATTATTTTCAATGTAGACATCATGATCAGCTCTATTAATGGAAGAAGTCCTGTGTCCAAGATCCCAGCAATGCAGCACTGTGCCTCCAGCAGTACATCATGCCTGAACACAGGGTTATTCTCATGGCATATAGGACAGGGCACACATCACCCTCTTTCTTCCAGTTCTGGCAAGAGCATGGACATGGTTAGGCTTCTCCAAAACAAATTGCAGAGCTGCTCTTAGGGCCATGAGTGTCACTTTGTGACTTAGCAGTAAAGTACAGGTATGCCACAGAAGCTTCTAGCTCAATCTGTATTTCTCTTTTGGGGTCTTGGCTAAGCAGGTGAGGTCGGAGTGGTGCAACATGCTTTCTGCAGGAGAATCAGATACCACTGCCCATTTTAAAGTGCTGCATTGAAAAGAACATCATCGGATCCTTGAAACAGCCTCACTTCCCTGCCTAGGCCCCTGCCTTCTGCCTCTATACGATGCGGCTGCTGGCAGGAGATGGAGCCAATCTGCAAAATGAGCATCTCCATGGAGATAAGCTGAGAGCGCAAGAAGGTCAGAGCCAAAGCATCAGGAGCAGCAAAGGAGTTCTTCAAACTTCATTTCCTTCCACAGAAATCACTTGATGGAGATTTGTTGAACGTGACACCTGGCTGCCTCACGTTGCCGACTCAAATGAGGAGACAAAAGAGGAAGCTAATTGTTTCCAATGCATTCAAGTTTAATACAGTGCATTTTTAATTAGGGCTCTAAAGGGGAAGAGAATCAATTGCCTCTTGCAGAAGCAGGCAGCACTGGCAGGTGATGCCGTGTGGAGAATGGGAATTGCAGCAGGATGCTGAGGCTCCCTGATGAGGGGGGGGGCAGTGTGTTCTCTGGGGGGCCCTGTGCATCAGATGCTCCTGGTGGCTCCAAGGAAGCTTGCCACTAAGTGGCAATATGACACCATCCAAAAGGACAAGATTATGCTCTTGAACCACCCTGCTTTGGAGGTGCTCTGGTGCCTGAGGAGTATTCATAACCCCAGGGAGCATCTGCTATCCAGGACATGAAGAGAAAAGTATCTGACTGTGGATATCCTTTCCCACAACTGTGGTGAGATCTAGTACCCCTCAATACACCTTATTTCTTGTTTGAGCTGGACTGGGGTAGCCCAAAAGCTACTGCTTGATAGGTGCTCGGTGACCTGTGCCTGGGGAGAGGGAAACAAAGGCAATCTTATGGTTGGGATCCAGACCTCTAGAGAATTCTGTGTTAGAAAAACCATCCTAGCAAGCTCAAGTTGAAGGGACTCCAGTGAGCAAGCACAGCAAGCCCAAGGACTCAGGCTAAGCAGCAAATCCCTATGGCATACTGTCGAGACACAAGCACATACAGCAAGAAGCTGGTATTGCTGAAAACTTATGTTCAGATTGTTCAGCAGACCGAAGCTGAGGTCTCCAAGGAGCTCAATTTCATGCCTTTAATGAGAATTATATTTCCTAAAGGAAGCAGCCAAAGTCCTTCAATTCAGTTTAATATATTGCAATAGCAGACAGGTCTCAGGATCCTGTTTTCTCAATACCCTCATATTCAGTCTTTGCCAGGCAAAAATCACAGCCTTTTTCATGTCTTTCAACAGGACACTTCGGGATGTGCTAAATATATTCTCTTTGGTTTTGAGTGATGCCTGTGTCTATTGCTGAAGTCTATACCACAGAGATTTCTTTGCAAGGCCTAAGGGGACTAATTCAGTGGGCTGAAAAGAAGATTGTTAGCACCATATAAGGGACCCTACAGCATCTTAAACATCTGCATGGGGCAGGTACAAATGGCGCAGGACCAAGATCAGAATCCCATCCTGACAGCTAGCTGGGATACTTGATGGTATCTCAAAGCGTACTAGACACCTCTTCTTAGCCAACTGAAAGCAGCCAGCGTTTGGCCAGTTTGGTAGGCAGTTGATGCTGGTTCAGTGGATGATAGTTCAGTTGTAACACAGGAGAAGGCCTTCAAGCTGTGCAGTGAGGCTGAGGATAGAAATTAGCTCTTAAAAATTATTTGGAAGCTGGATCTAACTTATTTATGGTATTGTAAAGCCAGAAAGGGTAGAAGTACTGTATCCATTAAAATAAAATGTTGAGTACAAACTGAGTGCTAAAGAAATAAATCCAATGGTGAAATTCACTTTACACATGTAAGATTGAGATCAGGACTTCATTGCCAGGAAGAATCTGTGCCCTTGCACTTTGTGTCTTTTCTATTTCTTCATCTTTTCTCAATGAATCTCTGGAAGATGCTGTTTATGGACAAATAGGAGCATGTTTCATGAAAGATTTATTAATCAGAACTGCCAAATTCATAATTACTTTCTGGGCACTAAAATCGTTTGGCCTTATCAAATAAATGAGAATAACCACTGATTATTGTTTTTGGAGAAAGAAGGAGATGGTAATAAGGAAAAAAACATGCACAGATGAGGAAGATAGTATGAATGGACATAGATGTGTTCATATAGATGTCTGAGTGGTCAAATGACTCATCTGTCTGAAAAAAAAAAAGCATCATTTTTATATTGTGAGGCACTCAAGCAAGCCACCAGCACTTTCACTCCAACACGATAGATGGACTTCATTTGTTTCCCTGCTCCTCTTCTGCCACTGCTCTTTTATGGTTCAGAAGTGGCTGGAATTTCCCCCACC